CCAGGCTCCTCCGTCCATGGGATTCTCCAGGCAAGAATACTGGAGTGGATTGCCATTTCCTTCTCCAGGGGATCTTCCCAACCCAGGGATCGAACCCAGGTCCTCCCGCATTGCGGGCAGATGCTTTAACCTCTGAGCCACCAGGGAAGCCCTGTTATGGCATTAAGTGAGATTAAAACAAATACCCCAAAACAAGAAACCAAAGATGAGCCCCAGACAAATGGCAGTTACAAAATCAGGCAAATGATAATTAAAATAATGGAATATACACACATACCTATACACCCATAAGCACAATCAAAACAATCCAACAAAAATTAAGTACAATAGATTGACCCAGTGAACAAAGAAAACCAAAAATGATATTTACCAGTTAAGAGCAAAACTAACTAAAGCACAAACTTGAACATGAAACCAAAGCAAGGTGCCAAGTAGCAAATAAAGCAATGAAACCAAAACTTACAAATATGAAAAGAGAAAAGGAGAGAAAGAAAAGAAAGAATAGATATGTAAAGTTAAATAGGGGTAGATAAAGAAGATTTATATACATTATAGATTAACTGCGAGGGGAGAAGAACGGGGAAAGCAAACAGTGAATAAACGTAGAAAAAATAATAATAGGCTTAAAAATCTTTTTAAATTAAAACGAGAAAAAAGAAGAAGAAAAGAATAAAAGGAAAGCACTGCAGAACTGCAGAAAGCCAACGTAAAGGCAGAGTTTTACAACAATAAAAAGTGTTTAAGAAAAGCTTAATTAGATTTCATAGTGCTAATAAAATTGACAGCTACAACAGAAGGAAAAAAAGAAATCCAAAAGAAACTACAGAACAAGTCAAAACATAAGAATAGTAAATATTTTTCTTGAGTCAGTGCTGCCAGCATTCTTTCCCTTGCTGGGAGTAACAGTCCACCTCACCCCACTAGGGTGCCTTCCAACACTGCACTGGTTTCTGTACCTGATGTGGGGGCAGCTCAGACTCTAATCTGGTCCTACTCCTGTGTACTGTTGTCTCCAATGTCCACACAGAACTAGTGTGTTTTCTTTGTGGGAACTCTCAGTGTCCTTTTATATATTCTATAGACACAGTGTCTGCCTGGCTGATTATGTGGATTTAATCTGCAGCTTGTATAGCTGATGGGAGGGATTTGGGTCCTCTTCCTTAGCTACACTGCTCCTGGGTTTCAGTTGTGGTTTTATTTCCACCTCTGCATGTGGGTTGTCCACTGGGATTTGCTCCTGAAGCTGCCCTGGGGGACTTGGGTCTGCCCCAGTGAGGGCCAGGTGTGGAGGTGGTGCAGGTGCTTGGGGCACAGGGGTTCTGGAAGCACTAGGTACTCAGGGGAGTTGGCGGCTAGAGCAACAGGAAATATAGTGCTCTAGAAGGGTATGGCAACCAGTATTGGCCGATACACTCCAATATTCTTGCCTGGAGAAACCCCTCTGACAGAGAAGCCTGGCAGGCCACAGTCCACAGAATCATAAAGAGTTGGACATGGCCGAAGCGATCTCGCATGCATAGATGCAAGACTTTTTTTGCTTGTGGCAACTCTGCCCCAGTGAGGGTTGAACGTGAAGGTGATGCAGCTGCTTGGGTCGTGGGGACCCTGGTGGTGCCAAGTGTGCAGGGACACGGACTGCCTCAGCAGCAGCAGTTATTGGCCCTACAGAGTCTTTTTTCGAGCCTCTGATAGCTGGTGATCAGGCGGCCTCTTTGGCCAGTCTTTCTCCGTAGCTCTGCCTGTTCAGGCACTTACAGGACTCCCGTGCCTGGGGTCCTTCTCTGTTGATGGGCACGTCAGGCACATAGAGGGGCCCCCCTGCCTGGGGTCCTACTCTGTAGTTTGGTGCATCAGTCCCTTATAGGAGCACCCTGGGTGGGGTCCTACTCTGTAGTTCAGGGCGTCAGGCACTTGATGGGCCAGCCTCTCTGTTGTTCAGCTGCCAATGCTGGCGTGTGGGGAGAGAGGCTATGGCGATGACTCCACCCCCTACACATGATTCAGCAGTATCGCCTTGCTTCCATGGCTGCCTGGCTTTCTTCCACAGGTATTTCCCACCACAATCTCCTCCCTCACGTCCCCGCAGTCTGTCTCTCTGCAGTCAACAGCAGCCCTCACCCTGAGATTGCTCCACAATCCTATGCACCAGCTCCCAGCCACTGTGCCTTCTAGGGGACCTGTTTCCCTGTCCAGGGTATGTATGGCTGTGGCAAGGACTGTCTGATTCTCATTACATTTAAGCTGCCACAGATCAGCTGTTTCACTTTCGGCTTTAAATGTTTCTCCTCTGACTCAGACAGTTGCCCAGATGTGGGGATTGGATCCCTGCTTCAGTTCCCCCACCCACAGAGGGCAGGTCCCATCCGACTAATACACCTGTTTCTCCCCCTAGTTCGTTTGTCCTACCAAGTTTTGCGTGGTTCTCTATATTCTTTTATGGTGGTCAGGTACTCCTGTCCACTTTCAGCTGGTGTTCTGCAAGCACTTCTGTGTCTGAAGGTGTATTCCTGATGCATCTGTGGAGAGAGATGTACTCCACATCCACCTACTCCTCTGCCATCTTGTTCCCTATTGTGTTTTCTTTTCCTTTACATTTATGTATTTTATCACATATATTTTTGGCTAGGTTTTTCTCTATTTTTAACCTTTATTCCTGAGTACTTTATGTCAATTTGTGTTGTGGTTTTTCTTATTACATTTTCAAGTTGGTTACTGTTGATGTATCAAAGAGCTATTGCATATTGATTTTGTTAAAAAAAAAATTGCTGCCTTGTAGATGTATCTTTTTTATTCTTATGTCATGCCAGCTGTTTCTCTTAGGATTTTTAGTCAGAAAATCAGATGTTTTTATATAACGAGAGTAGTTTTTCCTCCTTGCTTAGTGTTTACCACTGGTATTTTGCTTTGTTTCCACTGTTCCAGGCCTTCTGGGACAGTGCTGACTAGTAGAGTTGATACGAAGATTTCAACTTGTTTCTGAAGAACAATTTTAAATTGTTCCTGATTTTAGAGGGAACACTTCTAATGTTTCACATAAAGTATGATATTTTTTATAGGCTTAGGGAAATTACTTTTACCTGTAACAAACTGAATTCTGATTTTTGAAAGTGTTAAATTTCATCATAGTACTTTGTTTCATCTATAGAGATGATTGTTCTCCATTAATGTACTAATGTTACTTATTTCTTTGTTACAGTTTTGTTTTTTAAAAGTTTGAACTGTCCTTTAATTGTTTTAGATCCATTTCCTTCATAGATTATTGTTTATGCACGTATAGGATTCATTTTAATGTTTTTATCTAAATATTCATTAGTATTTTTATCTAGGTTTTTAAAAAATATTCATTTTACTTATTTGACTGCACTGGCACTCAGGCAGTGTTATGTGTGGTAACTGTTCTCTGAAGCCCTGCACCACTGGGATCTAGTTCCCTGAACAGGAGTCGAACCAAGGCCCCTTGCATTGGGAGTGCAGTCATAACCAGTAGATCACCAGGGAGATCCCTGCTAGGTTTTGGATTTTTTTTAGGATTTATTTTTTCATTTATTTTTGGCTGTGCTAGGTCTTCATGGCTGCTCTTGGGCTTTCTCTAGTTGCAGCAATTGGAGGCTATTCTCTAATTGCAGTGCTTGGGCTTCTCACTGAGGTGGCTTCTCTTGTTGCAGAACACAGGCTCTAGGGTATGGGTTGGTAGTTGTTGCCCTGTAGCATGTCAGTCTTCCCAGACCAGGGATCAAACTTGTGTCCCCTACTTTGGCAGGCAGAGTCTTAATCAGTGGTCGCCTAGAGTAGCCCTAGGTATTTTTAACAAATGAAATTGTGCAAGTTGTGCTGTCTTGCCTTCTCTGTGAGATTATACAAGTTTGTATGATGAGTTTCCCATCATTTCCTGGCTCTACATCTAATTGAAGAAATTTTCCGTTTCTCGGATATTGATAAAACTTACTTTCATAGATAGTGTGGGGCTGTTTACTTTATGGAGAGGGTATACCTCTCATTACTATTTTATGATCGTGGACTTTTCTTGTCTTCCTAATCCTTTCTGGGAAATTTTTGGCTACTTTCATTTTGCTAGGAAAGTTTCTATTTCTTCTAAGTTTTCATATTTATTGGAACAAATGTATAAATAAAATTCTGCTGTCATGTTTGCTTTAAAAATGTAAATTTGTTTCAATATGTTAGGGAATGCTGTGAGCTTTCTGATTTCAGGCAAGCCTCTTTTCACCATTTTATAATAAACTAGAGTGCTTCTGACACAAACATTGGTACAGTGTCTTTTATAAGGTACAGTGACACATTTATGGTGATATTTATATATTTCTTAACCATTATGCATGTATAAAACTCTACTGTTTTTATTAAGATTTTTTATTTTCCTTTTTTCATGTGTGGTGATAAAGGTGTTACACCCCAACCCTGTTCTTCCTATAAGCCTGAGACTTTTCATAGTGGTGATTTTTTTTTTTTTTTTTTTGTAAATCCATATCACATTACAGCAGAACTGCCTGTGTATAGTGATCACTTACAGATTTTAAGATTGCTTTTCTATCGTAGAGTTATGCACCCTGTCTTGGTCATAATAGTTTTCTTTTCCTCATTTCTTGATTATGCTTGTCCAATTAAAAAACTTTAATAGTTATTTTTTATTTTATTTTTATTCTTATCAAGCTTAAAAATAGTAAAAGGCTTAAAATAGGGCTCCTGGTTGACTGCCCACCCCCCACAGCCCTAACATAGATGTTTGTTTCCCTCTACAAAACTAAAACCTCCTTGAGGCCAGAATGGGTTTCACTCATCCTGAAATCTTCAGAACCCAAAACAATGTGTGGCACATGGAGGCTCAATTATTAGTAATGTTTTTAATTCTCTCTCAAAAGAAGTGGTGGCCTGGGCACAGGAGGCAGACTGTGGAGGATATTCTCCTTTCCTGGGTCCGCTACATCTTCTCCATGTCTCCAACTGTAATTGCAGCCTATTGAGTAATGTGTGTGTTGTTACAGGGGTTGTTGTCATTCACGGATATATCTATGCAGTTCAGCTGGGAAGAGTGGCAGCTGCTGGATTCTGTGCAGAAACACCTGTATCGGGATGTGACTCTGGAAAACTATAGTAACCTGGTGGCTATAGGTAAGTACAGCTTAGTGAGCCTGTACGAGCCCAGATCCTGAGTCATAAGTCACCATTGCCTTTTCTTTTGTTTATCTACCCTGAAGCCTCTGGAGATCACATGTTCTTAGCCCCTGCTTAATCCTCAGCTCCTCACTGTCATCTTCCCCAAGTGCAAACAAGCTGCTTCCTTTCCTCCCTCCTGACCCCTTCCTTAGTCTCCAGCAGTCTGACTACATCCTCTGTGACTTTCCCTTAACAGGGTATCATGGTAACAAACCTGATTTAATCTTCAAGTTGGAGCAAGGAGAAGAGCCATGGATCATAAACTCTAAAGTTTCCCATCAGAGCTGCCCAGGTGGGTGAGCAGATACCATGAAGCTGGGAGGTGGGGAGTAAACTGGGTTGACATTCAGGCAGTTTCTTGTGTGGGAACTGTTCTCTAACCCCTTGCACCATTGGAGCAGCTTGGGATGAGCCTAAGAGTCCTCAAGTGAGGGCTATCACTTTCCTCCCATGACTGCAAGAGGCTGGTGGGCCATTCTCTGCACACTGCTCAAAGGTTGCTTTCTGGATTAGTTTCCTTCCCTTGAACACATTCCTTACTGTGATCACGGGCCTTATTTTCCCTTTTGCCTCTGCAGTTAATTCCCTCAACTTTACCTACAGTCTTTTCCTTCTCTCCTCTTGACTGTCTTAGGAAGTTTCATTGCTTCCTTCACTCTTCTCAACTAGTCATTTGGAAACTACAACTGCTACCTTCTTGGGCACTTTTCTTTCTTTTTTTTTTTTTTTTTTTTTTTGCCACACTTCATGGCTTGCAGGATTTTAGTTCCTCAACCAGGGATAGAACCCATGCCCCCTGCAGTGGAAACATGGAGTATTAAGCCCCAGGCACTGAGAAAGTCCCTTGGGCACTTTTCTGAAAAGAATTCTGCAACCTAGCGTAAGTGGTTTTTATCACCTTACATTTGTTTCCCTGACTCCTCTTTCCCTTCCCTATTAAGTTGTCCAAGTTTGGGCTTCTCGTCTATATTGTAACTCTGGAAGACCTCTTCCGTCCTGAAAATTGAAACTTTTTCCTCCCAGTGTTGTAACAGCAGAGCTACCAACCTCCCCCTGCCCCCTTCTTCCTGCAGTCTGGTCCCAGCTTTATATGCTTCAGGACAGAGGTCTTGGTCTCCCACTCTGCTTTCTTAGTGGCAGAAATTGGAAGACCCTTCCGAAATTGCTCTTCCTCTTCAGTTTTCCCACCACTTTCTTCTTTGGGGAAGAAAATGTTTTTAGCAAGCAGTTCTGAGGAAGCAGGACAGCAGCTGAGGTCCCCAGTACAGCAGTCATGTCCTAGGGTGACTGAGGCTTGTGTCTGATGCGTTCTGTCGAGACCTTGCCCTGCTGTTGCTGCTTTCCTTTAACCTTGCCTTTCTATCACTCTCATCATCACAGTGTTCAGGCCTCACAGATGGACTTTCCCTTTCTCTCTACATCTCTTGTCCGACCTGAAATGTGGCCTTCTCCAGGGCTGTTTTGGCATCCCTTTTAATTTGCATGTGTGCCTTAGAAGACCTCACCCCTCATGTCATTCAATACCTTGTATGTGCTGTTGATTCCTGCTTTTTACTGAGCACTGAATTTAGGTGTAACTGTTTACCTGTTTCTCTGTTTGAATATTTAATGAAGATCTCCAATATAATAAGATCCAAAACAAAGTCCTTTGTCTTTCTCCAAACATGTCTCTCTCCCAGTGTTTTCAGTCTCAAAGAGCAGTACCTCCTGCTTCTCAAGTCTCAAATCTAGGAGTTTCTCTCGCTTCTGTCTAAAATGTTTTTGCCTTAATTTTGTTATGGCTCAATCCCTGTTTTAATATCTCATTGTACCATCCTAAACGTTGTACGTTTTTATGTGCCTGTTAATTCACCTTTTTAGTAAACTCCTGAAATTATAAAATTGGCATAAATAGTTGACAATGGCTTCTATTAATAAGTGCAGGCTAAATTTTTTAAACTTCTATTTAAAAAACACTTCTGATTACTGCTAACCAGCTACCCATTTCTGTAGAGGGATTTATTTTGGTTTGATTCACTTCCCTTTGCCCCTTCACTTGGTTATGTGGTGTGTGTGCACTTGGCCAGTATTTCTTTTGAACCAGTGTCAGAGGCCTGGACCAGAAGAAAAAGACTCATTACATAGCAGTTCTAAAGCACTTTAATTCTATATCAGGTTTATTTATGATTTTTAAATTACAGTGTGTTTTTTTTTCTTAGATGGTTGGGAAGAATGGTACCAGAAAAATCATGATGAACTTGAAAGTGTTGAGAAAAGCTATGCTTGTAATGCATTTGGAAAACTTCATCTGAGCAAAAGCCACATTTCTTCAAGACAAAGATTCCTTAAATATAACACACATGGAAGAAGTTTGACACAAAATTTAACTTCAGCCACAAGCTGCCTAAGAAAGAATGCTGATCAGTTTCATGGGTATGAAGAATCATATTTTATTAATCATCAAAGAACTCATAGTATAGAAAAAAACTGTATATGTAATGAATGTGGGAAAGCTTTTCGTTGTAAATCACAGCTCATTGTACATCTCAGAATTCATACAGGAGAGAGACCATACGAGTGTACTAAATGTGAAAGAGCCTTCAGTGCCAAGTCAAACCTCAATGCTCATCAGAGAGTCCATACAGGAGAAAAGCCCTACTCCTGTATCGAGTGTGGGAAAGTCTTTTCTTTCAGGTCACAACTCATTGTCCACCAGGAAATTCACACAGGAGGGAAACCTTATGGTTGCAGTGAATGTGGGAAAGCCTACAGCTGGAAATCACAACTGATTTTACACCAGAGAAGCCATACAGGAGTGAAACCATATGAATGCAGTGAATGTGGGAAAGCCTTTAGTTTGAAGTCACCATTCATTGTGCACCAGAGAACTCATACAGGAGTGAAACCCCATAAATGTAGTGAATGTGGGAAAGCCTTTAGGAGTAAGTCATACCTCCTTGTTCACATTAGGATGCACACAGGAGAAAAACCCTATCAATGCAGTGACTGTGGCAAAGCCTTCAATATGAAGACACAACTTGTTGTGCATCAGGGAATTCATACAGGAAATAATCCTTATCAATGCAGTGAATGTGGGAAAGCCTTTGGTAGGAAGGAACAGCTCACTGCACATCTGAGAGCGCATGCGGGAGAGAAACCTTATGGATGCAGTGAGTGCGGGAAGGCTTTCAGCAGCAAGTCATACCTCGTTATACACAGGAGAACACACACAGGAGAAAGACCCTATGAATGTAGTTTTTGTGAAAGAGCCTTTTGTGGGAAGTCACAGCTAATTATACATCAAAGAACTCACTCAACAGAGAAGCCCTATGAATGCAGCGAATGTGAAAAAGCCTATCCCAGGAAGGCATCACTTCAGATACACCAGAAAACTCATTCAGGAGAAAAGCCGTTTAAATGCAGTGAGTGTGGGAAAGCATTCACTCAGAAGTCATCTCTCAGTGAACATCAAAGAGTTCATACAGGAGAGAAACCGTGGAAATGCTCTGAGTGTGGGAAATCCTTCTGTTGGAATTCAGGGCTTCGTATACATCGAAAAACTCACAAGTGAGAAGTCAGAACAGAGTAGATGTTGGAGGATGCATTCTCACAGAAGTTGATCCTCAGGAGACTTCAGATGATAATGGAAGCAGGATATATAAGCAGGAATACCTAAAAATACATTCTAATCAAATTAGTCATGTGGGAGGGGAACCAATTATATTTGGAATGAATATGCAAAAACTTTCAGAAGTAAGTCATGCAGATCTTTATATGCAAGAGAATGGTTGAAGGAGTAAAGAGCAGTAATGGTATAAACAGTAGCATAATTAGGAAGATTTAATTTGGGGAATGCATATTAAGTCCGTATGAATTTAATAAATCAGGAAAGCAGTTTCCCATAGAAAATGTGTTACATGGGGAGTCATGTTCCAAATTTGATGCAGTTTTGGAGTGAGGAAAGTCCTTCTTGGTGGAGGATAAAGTAGTTGGGTTTTGTTTGTTTGTTTTTAGTATATAACTAATGGGAAAATAGCAAAGAACATATTCTGAAGGTTCAAGGGCATGGAGTGTGACTTTCCTGAGCAACACTGCATAGCAGTTTTTAAAATTTTGGTATTTTATTTTTAAATGTAACTTGTTATATTTGATAATTTGTGGAATAACATCCTCCAATATTCTCCATATTAAATGCTAAGTATCAGTATTGTCTCTTTATTTCTTAGCAATATAACTAAAATAATGTGACTTTCAATAAATGAAAGGATTTGTTCTTACTCCAAATGAGTTTACTTATTCAGTAAATGGGTCTGTCAGGTATTACAGCACTCCTTTCCAGGAGTGCTCATGGTAATGAAGATTGATTGTATTTAGTAATTCAGTGTCTGCTCCCCATTGATTGATAAGAGTGGCTTAGAATTCTCTGGAGAAATACCCCTCCTATGTTGTGCATATCCTTGTGGTGTGTCTCTCAGGGTGTCCTTCCCACCAGCCATAGGTGAGCATTCTGTCATGGTTGAGTCATGGTAACCTCTTTGCCAGGAGTTTGAGTCTCTAATTCAGTCTCACATGAACCAGAAGGGAAATAATCAGAATTCATTCTTGTCCCACAGTTTTACTAAGACCATCAATTAGTTCCTGCTATTTCAATTTCTCAGAATAACTTTGGATATTCTGAACCTGGTTTTCTGGTGTTCTCTGTGCTGCCTCATTTTCAATAAAAATATTATTTTCTGCTAATGTTAAGAAGAATGAGTTCTATTTCTTGTAACTGAAGGGCTTTCATTGGTAAGTTGTTTTGCTGGAGTAAACTGTTAGTAAACTGTTGGATAGAAAACTGTTAAAGAAAAGTGGGGTGTATGGTTTAGGTTTATTCCTAAGACAAGAAGAAAATCTTTCAGATTCCTGCTTATATTCCAAAGTGGATACTTTTTAGCTGATAGTATGAAATAGTGTTCTTACTTATGTACATCAAGAACCTTGTGGACTCTATTGGTAAGACTCTGGCAAAACTCAGGAGCTATTGTCCTAGAAAGTTTTAAACTTAAGAGGAAATCTGGGACATCAGATGAAATGGCTAGTTCTGGTTCCGTCAGCTCTTAAACACAAGACCAGACTTGAAGGCCTGAATCTCATCTCAGGGAAGTGTTGTCAGCAGCTCTCTGACATTGTGGAAATAATTGCTTACTCAAGAGTTGTAGGGTTGAGATGGTGGAAATCAAAGACACAGTTGCTGAAGTACAGATCATCTACCTTAAGTGTGCACCAATCCCTTACGTAAACATGTTAGAAAAAGTGTCTCTTGATCATTTGAGTAGAGAGATTTGTGAACAATCTGAGGACTAGCAAACTCATGATACACTTTATATGCTTGTCACTCAGGGATACAGCCTAGATGTTTACAAACTGCAGACCACAGGCCAAATACAGATTGTTGATACTTTTATGGATGGCAAGCTAAGAAGCTTAACATTTTTAAATGGTTTTAAAAAGCTCCAAACTACTTTATGAAGTGAAAAAATTATTTGAAATTAAAATTTCAGTGTCCATCAGTCGAGTTTCATTGGAACACAGCCAGCCATAATCTGGCTGTGCGTTGCTTATACACTACAGTGGCAGAGTTGAGTGGTTGTGGCAAACACAGTATTGCCCCCAGAACCTGCTAACTCCTGATGTAGACACCCTTCCTTCCCAGAAAAAGTGGACCATGCCTTGTAGGAGGAAGCTTATTCTTCCAGTACCCCATGCCTCAGTTACCAGCTATGTCCAAATGTACTCTTTTTTTATGAAGACATTGATCATATTGACTTAGGTCTCATTCTATTGATCTAATTTTAATTTAATTATCTCTGTAGAGGCCCTGTCTCTAATGCACATTTTGAGATACTGGGGTTTAGGAATTCAACGTATTTTTGACAGGATGCAATTCAATCCATAACAGTCTGCCCTCCTTCCCCCCAACCCCACCAAATTCATGTCCTTCTCACGTGCAAAGTGCATTCATCCCTGCCCAACATTCCCCCTGACCCAAATCTTAATCTACTCCAGCATCAACTCTAAATCCAGAATCTCATCTAAATCAGATATGGGTGAAATCTCGGATATGATTCATCCTGGGGCAATATTCCTCTCCATTTGTGAACCTATGAAACCAAAAAAAGTTATCTGCTACGAAAATACAATAATCAGATAGGCATGGGATAGACATTCCCATTCCAAAAGGAAGAAAGGATAAGGGGTATTATGAGTCCCAATCAAGTACCAAAACTAGCAGGGTAAATTCCATTAGACATTAAGGTTTGAGAATAATCCTCTGTGGCTAAATGCTCTGTCCTCTAAGTCCAGTAGGATGGTGGCCCTGCCTCTTCAATCCTGAATAGTGGGGCAGCTCTCTAGAATTGAAAAGGAGGCTTCACCCTCTGGAACCAAGAAAGCGGCCCCACCCTCAGTCCGTGTCCACAGCTAGATAGCTCTATCAACCTGTTTCGTGCCTGTAGAATCTCAGGAGTTTGGCAAAGGTCCTTCATTTTAACCTTTCTCTGTTCCCTTGAGTCCAAGTTGGTAGCATTTCAGCCGAAATGATTGATTGGATTCATAAGTCATATACCCATAATCTCTTGAGCAAAGACTGTCTGGCCAGATGCTTGGTGTTCTCTCCGGAGCTAGCTTTCTTGCTTTTGCAATATGAGTAAGTGGAGAGTCTTCCAAACCTTTGCAATCTAGTTCCTTTATGCTTAACAATACAGTGTCAGTTTATCTTTGTCCTCATATTTTAGTATCAGCATCAAGGAAAAATTAAGTCATGTCTTCAACACCTAGATTAGAAATCTCTACGGCTAAATATCCCAATTTATCACTCACAAGTTCTGTCCTCTGGTAAACGCTGGAACACATGTCAGTCAAGTTATCTGCCACTTTTCTCCGATTTCCAATAACATGTCCTTCATTTTTATCTGACACCTCACCAGTAGTACCTTAACATTCTCATATTACTACCAGTAATGCCTTCAAAGCAATCTGGGCTTTTTCTATGAAGTACCTCAAAACTTCCATCAGTTACCAATTCCAAAGTCACTTCCAAATTTTTACATATTTGTTAAAGCAGCACCCTATTCTCCAGCGAAAATCTTTATACATTTGCTAGACTGCTATAACAAGGTACTGCAAAACAAGTGGTTTAAGCAACAAAAATTTATTTTTCATATATTTCATAGTTCTGGGGGCCAGAAATCTGAAGTCAAGGTGCCAACAGAGTTGGCATATTCTGAGGGAAGAATCCGTTCCAGGCCTCTCTTTGACTTCTAGATATTGATCTTCTCCCTTTGTCTCTCCACAGCATTTTCTCCTATGTGTGTCTAATTTGTGTTCAAATTTTTTCTCTTTATAAGAATACCAGTCATATTAGAGAAGGAAATGTCAACCCACTCCAGATGCCGCCTGGAAAATTCCATGAACAGAGGAGCCTGGTGGGCTACAGCCCATGGGGTTGCAGAGTCGGACACAACTAAACAAAAACACACACACACATGCACCAGTCTTATTGGTTTAGAGCCCACCCTAATGACCATTTGAACTTGATTATCTCTATAAAGACCCTATCTCTAAAGTCACATTCTGAGGTGGGGGCTGAGGACTCCAACATAACTCTTTTGTGGGGAAATAACTGAACCTGTAACACTTGACAAGGAAATGGGCAACTTGAACAATACTCTAAACCAGCTGGACCTAACAGACATGTGAGCCACTCTGCTCCACTGCAGCAGAATGCATACTCTCCAAGCATTGTGGAATATTGTGCAGCACAGATTACACATTAGGCCACGGAACAAGCCCCAAAGGACACCACAAACAGCTCTAAGGCTTTAGTCAAAACTGGGACCAAATAATGATAACAGGTTACAACTCAAAGAATAAAGTAAGAATTCATATATCTGTTCCAGTTCAGTCACTCAGTCATGTCCAACTCTTTGCGATCCCATGAACCACAGCATGCCAGGCCTCCCTGTCCATCACCAACTCCCAGAGTCTACCCTGACCCATGTCCATTGAGTCGGTGATGCCATCCAACCATCTCATCCTCTGTCATCCCCTTCTCCTCCTGCCCTCAGTCTTTCCCAGCATCAAGGGCTTTTCAAATGAGTCAGCTCTTTGCATCAGGTGGCCAAAATAATGGAGTTTCGGCTTCAACATCAGTCCTTCCAATGAACACTCAGGACTGATCTCCTTTAGGATGGACTGGTTGGATCTCCTTGCAGTCCAAGGGGCTCTCAAGAGTCTTCTTCAACACCACAGTTCAAAAGCATCAATTCTTCGGTGTTCAGCTTTCTTTATAGTCCAACTCTCACATCCATACATGACCACTGGAAA